AAACGAGTGACAATACAGACACGGTGCAGACAAAGGGTGCATCTCATCCAACATGCATTCATTCGTTCACGGGCGTCGTCTCGGGGTTATACCTTCGAGGCGAGACTTTTCGGAACGGATCAAGTTCATAGCGGAAGTAGACGTTCTCGCCACGTTTGTAGTGGTAGTAGTTGTACTCATGCCGTAGTGGAAGTAGTGGTTCACGTCGATGGTAGTGGCACATAGCAATCGTGGATGAACTTGGAGGGTCATCGTTAGTCGTTCATGGGTCTTCGGCGATGGTTGTGGTACACATTTTGTAGAAGTACGGGCGGCAGTAGTGGTACATGTTTATCGTTGCACGGGTTTCCGTAGATGTTCGGGGTCACGGCGAGGAACTTGATGCATCGTTGAACTCGGCGTCCAAGGAATCCCGCGTAGCCGTAGTCGAACTTGACGGTTCCGTTACACGGTTCTTTAGAGACGATAATGGTGTACGGGTCTTTTGGCCCTGATAGTCATACACACATCCGAAGAGGAAACTCGGCGTTCCGATGCGGTGTAGGGGTACATGCCGATGATCATCGTGGTACTTGGCATTTCGTTCAGCACTCATTCGAGCATCTGTGTGATCTTGTCGATGGTGTACTTGGCGATTTCCAAGGCGGCCTTGACGCATCCAAAGGGTATTTGGTGTCGAGGTACTTGGTGTGCATCAAACTGTTGACCAACAACGTGTGCAGGAGACGAAGAGGTCTCTTGTGGTCTTCCAGTCAACGTGAACAGGAGATCAAGACACGACACAAAGCCTGCCATGACGGCTTTTGAGTGGAAGACGTCGCAACACTCCCGCGGTGCCGGGAATGAGCGCAGGAGGTGTGGATCCGGAGCTGGAAGGCAAGCTCCGGCTGGATACAGGGCGAGGACGGCGGAGATGGCTGGCGGAGCAGGAGGCGCAGTGATGGAGGGGATGCGGACGAAGGAGACGGGGCGCGGGGTCGTCCTCGAGGGCGGGACGGTGGATATGGTGCAGGGCTGCCCGGACCTGCATCTGTTGCTGCCAGAGACTCGAAGCTCCGCGGCGGCGGCCACTACGAGTGGGACGAGCAGAGGCGTGAATGGAGCAGAGGAAGGAAGGCCGGGAGGAGGTGTACGGGTCGCGGGCTCCTGGTGGAGGTCGTCAGCGACGGCGGCCGCTGGCACGGCGCGGCGGGGTGGACAGCGGGAGGAGGTCGAATGGGCGAGGGCGGCTGCTTGCTGGTGGCGGGGTAGAGCAGAGGACGGTCGCGGTGGCGGCTTGGCGCTGAGGAAGGAGGCGCGTGGGAGGCAGGAGGCAGGAGAGCGACGGGGTCTGGAGGAGGACAAGCGAGGGGATCGCTGCTCGGGGACGGGCGTCGCCCTTGGAGGCGCTTGGTCGATCGGGCACGGGAGCGAGAGGTGGGGGTTATCGAGCAGGGAGAGAGATGGCGGCGCACGTGGGAACGAAGGAGGGAAAGATGGAGATCGAGAGGAGAGGCCGAGGCCTAGGGTTAGGGCACGCGGGCTGGGCCTTAGAGGCCTCAGCGCAAATGGGCCAGCCTGGCAGGACTAGGCCCAAGCAAAAAAGAATTCAAGAAAAGAAAAAAAGAAAGAGGAGGGTAGGGGAAGAAGTTGGACACACGGATAAATTCCCCGGACTCACAAAAATGAGCTTGTCCCAAAAAAATAGAAATGGCATGATTGAAAGATATAAATTCAAACTCATTTGAATTTAATTCGAATGGGTTTGAACTGGGACTTGGTAAAAGGAAGGTCCATAAATGTTCAGATTTTTGAAGGAACCCCGGTAAAAGGGAAAAGAATTATTGGGCAAGGCTTTGACGTCCCACTAGAAGTAGAAAAGGCATGGGGAATATTGCAGGTGTGTTATGGTAATTTCCAAAAGAACGAAATATTTATTATAGCTCCCTAGTATATTGGGAGGATAGGTTATATAGATAAATCACCATGTGAGTTCCCTCAATTTAAATAGATCAAAGATCTGTGCATTTTATTTTGTTGAGTTTTTTAAAAAAGGAAATGGCATAATGGCATGATGACATGATGCAAGGCACATGATGCAAAGAGGAACGCAACAAGCAAAACAAAACACATGACGACAACTCGAAAATCAAGGAAAGCATCTGAAACTTCAGTCTTGGGGCGTCACACATGATTGCCATGAGCATAATCAAGATGCTTCTTTTCATTTCGTGTATGATTCGTATCTTGTTATTGACCAGCAACTGTTTTCTTTCTATCTTTTTGTGCAGACAGGGATATCCATTTCACCTTGTTGCTATTGTGACCTTTTGGTGAACTGCACAAAACATTTTTTTTTGAATGAGTGTCTTGTACAGTTCAACTAAAATGTCACTTGGGCAACATCTCTTAATTTTGGTAGAACTTCACAAAATGGTGATTGGAGTTTCAAAAATCTCCGTCAAATTCTGCTGGTAATCTCGTGCAACATTTTATTAGCTTTTGCAAGATGAGTCGTCACTGTCACCATAATGGCACTTTATTTTAGTGGAACTGCACAAAAGGATAAGAAAATTATAGTTGCACCTTACATGAACCGGACAGCCAACCTTAATGTTCCTCAATTTTAGTGCAACTACTAAAGAAGAAACTGCCAGCTCACGGGAGCAAGTACTTCTTGCTAGCTGAATGATGCAATCTTTGCTTCATTTTAGGTGAACTGCGGAAAAAGTCGCATGAATTGAATCATCGAGTGGAGCTGCAGGTTGAGTTCAAGCAGTGCCACAATTATAGTAATCATGCTCTTTCTTATCTGTGTTGTGCAAAACAGGAATACTCAAGTACAGATGTTGTGATGGTCAAGAGCATTCGCCAAGTTCTTGGGTTGTATGACACGGCTAGCCAAGATGGATTTAATCTTGATATTCACTTTATCAAAAGGCTCTAATGGGTTGGTTCTGGATCTTGCAAGCAGGGAATCAATGAGATGTGTAGGCATCTTTGTTGTACTTATTATTTGAATCTTATTTGTTGGTTTTGAATCTTGCAAGCTGGGATTGAATGAGATGTGCAGGCATCTTTGTTGTACTTATTATTTAAATCTTATTTGTTGGTTCCGAATCTTGCAAGCTAGGAATCAATGAGATGTGTAGGCATCTTTGTTGTACTTATTATTTGAATCTTATTTGTTGGTTCTGAATCTTACAAGCTGGAAAACACGACATGATGATGCAGAGGACAGCAACCATAGAAAACAGTTCAAATTTGGTAGTATTATCTGTGTGGAAGTGCGAAAATGTGATGATCGTGTGTGTTCTGAGAATAATAATTCTAATTGTTGTGCATGTTGATCCTGCGGCACTGATAAAACGAGCCAATGCACCGAGCTAATTAAAGTAAAGTAACCACTAACACTTGTTATTACAGTACCAATATAGACCCGCTCGTGAACCGACGTGTGGCTGGAATAGGTTTCTTAATGGAGGCATTTGAATGCGCCGTGGGTGCATGTTCTGCCGGGCATGTCTCTGCATTCGGTGAAGCTCTGCCTCGCCGAGTTCAAGCAGTACCTACAGGACGAGAAAGCACAAGGTCGTAGGACTAGACCTTGTGTGACTGAGTGGGTGGGAGAGTACAACCCCCACCCCTCACTTATTCAGGAACCTACCGCCATGGAGCCCAGCGGTTGGCTCTGCTACCCTACCGCCAAGAACCACGGCGGTAGGGTACTTTGCCACGTCATCGGCCGTTAACGGCCAAACGGCCGTCTATGCCACCTACCTCTGGGGGTAACGGTTGGCTGTCAAAAGCTATCGCCACGGGCCTTGGCGGTATCCAAAAGGATTAAATTCTGGAAAAAAATCTAACCGGGTCAGATCCAGCTAAAGTACACAAAAAGGGTTAAAACATGAAATTTAGCCGGATCTTGCCGGGCTGCCAGTTCTAGCCAACAACGGTGATGCTTGCAGACCGATGGCATTGAAGATTTCATGGTAGGATGCTGCGTCGACCACAGTGGTATGCAAGGAAAGGAGATAAAAGAGTACGCTGAGCACCCGTACGAGAGGGGCAGGCGGGAGATAAGTGGAGAAGTGTGACAAATCCACCTACCGCTGGTGTGCATGTTTGACCTCTTTTTCCTATATGCTCCCTCCGTTGACCTCTATTTAGTCTGTATATAAGATTTGATCAAAGTCAAGCGATGCAAAGTTTGACCAAATATATATCAAAAGATATTAACATCTACAATACTAAACCTATATGCTATGAAAATTGATATCATGATGCATATAGTAATACTGATTTCATATTATGAATGTTGATATTTTGTTTTATAAAGTTAGTAAAAGTTTATGAAGTTTGACTTTGACCAAATCTTATATGCGAACTAAAAAGAAACGGAGGGAGTACATGGTTAGACTATAAAATTTGAGGCCTCCTTTGGTTTGTAGGAATCTTGTAGGAATTTCATAGGATAGGATTTTCAAAGGAAAAATTCCTATGAAGCCCTTTGGTTTGTAGGAATGGATTCCTAATCCTACGTAGGATAGGGTCCAATCCTTCACATTTCAAAGGGAAAAAAACATTAGCCTAGACTCAATGGAAAAATTCCTATCCTATGCATCAAATGGCATCTCTTTTTTTATAGGAATTGAGATGCATGTCATCCCACTTCCTATGAAGTTCCTATTCCTATAATATTCCTATCCTATGAACCAAAGGAGGCCTGACTTGGGCCAAGGCAAGGTATTTGAGACGGATAGAGTAGACTGTGGTTCGATAGCAGAAGAATTTCAGTTCTTGTAGTACGTACATAACTAGTTTCAGCCAGACATTTCGGCGATTTCAGCCAAGGATTCTCATATGTGGTCATCTCTGCAGGTCTCTTGGGCCTTGAGCAAAAGCATGCTGAAGCGTGTCTGCTAAGGGGTGTGTTGAGCATTCGCATTGCACAACCATCCGTACGTGCAGCAGAGAGAGAAAGAGACACCATCGACAGTAACCATGAATTGAGAAGCAACTCATTTTCGTCTAGCCGGTACTACATACTTGGCGCTCTTTGCATGGCCATGCCCTATGGTGCCCACCTCCGTAGCCTCATTCACTTCCTTTAACGCATTCTCCCCCTTGATAGCCTTAGCCAGCTTCGCTGCTTTCTCCTCCTTGATAGCCTCGGCCAGTTTCGCTGCTTTCTCCTTCTTGATATCCTCAGCCACTTCCTCGAACACTCGTCTCACCCTAGCTTCCTCCTTTTCCAGCCAAGCCTCATCATGCACGGTAATTAACTGCAAAATGGGGAGGAAGTATGATATTAACAATAAGCAGCAAAACTTTAAAGTGTCACAATCAAATGGACAGGCTATCTCATCAAGGAATTCGACCCTGCACAATTGAAAATAAAATGATGCTTTCATAGTAGGTAAAACCCTGTCTTTAAATTGGCCTAAGATGTTTGTTTGCTGTTAGAAATCATTTTGTATATCCTATAAGAACAAGCTACAAATCTTTCTTGATACTAGGTATCTTGCTAGGTTTGCTTAAAACTGAGTTGCTCCATCATGATGCCATACTAATGTTGTTGGAAACTTAGTGGCTATAAACCATGTTTTGACAGGATACTTGTAAGGTTGGTTGATACTCAAAAGATCACCATTATAGGTATCTTGCTAGCTCTGTAAATTGTTGTATGGTCTCATTTTAATGAATCAAGGATTTAATCACTTTCTTAAGGAACAAAATAACTTAGGATGGCAATTATTGTTGGTTTGCCATCAAGAGGTCATTAATCCAATGTTAACAGCTGGGTAGTCAGCGACTACACAGCAATTTGGAACATCGAAGACCACCACGTCTCCGTACCCCAGCGCTAAGAAACAGGTTCTGGAAACTGACCAAGACAGGCCCATCTGTTATCTGGTTTGCCTGTGATTTGCCTGGTCCATATAGCAAAGGAAAGTACACACAGACGTCCAAATTATAACTTCAATAATCAGTGGATTCTCAAATCCCGTGATTACTCTTTCTACTACTACTTCTCTCTTTTTCACCTTCCCATGTAATCCCTAATGGCCAACAGGGGCATAACGCCGGCATGGAGGAGCACATCATGCACGGATGCGCATGTTGCACGCCAAGCGTTGACGCCGCCCCGCCGCCCGGAATCACCACCGTGAGCACGGCCGCCTCCTCAGCCAGTCTCCTACTCTCTGCAGTAATGTACCTCTGGCGACCGGCGAGTGCACCAGGAGTCTAGCACGAGGTCCTTTTTCTTCCATTTGGATGTTATATCTTCTTCCTCTTCCAATTTTTTTCTCGTACTAAGAAATTAAGATCTTGTTTTTCATAGTAAGTAAAAGGCTTGTTTTGTCACTTCTTAGATCTTATGTTTGGTAATGACACCAATGATAAATTGATAAATTTGTCAAAGGGCTGCAACCAGAAATATGTGTAAAATGAAGTACAGTCTTTTAAGTTCCTGTTTATTTTGTCCAAAAAATGATTCCATTTAAAAAGATTGACAACAAAAGGCTTGGATCCTGGCACCGCCACTGACTGAATATAAGGAAACATGCTAAGAAAATATCGCGCAGTCCCCACAATACTCAATTAAACATAAGAAAAAGTTCGGCTTAGGAGGCTAGTAAATTATCATACCTCGTCACCCAAGGCTTTTGCATCTGCATGGGAACAACATCTAAAGATTGGCGTGGAGCGACCATGGTTGTATTTAGCATCAATGGGGTGCTTCATTTGATCTCCACACACAAGGCATTCACCTTTAAAAGGAGTGCAACAACAAATTTGAGGAATGAACACCGTAAAACTCAAAGCAAATAATAAAGTAAGTACAGAATACCATTGGCATCAGGTTCAACTGCGCAGATACAGGTGAGCACATACTCTTCATGTTCGCCTCTCATACAAGTGACTTCAGCAAAATACAGCTTCTTGCGGGGATCATCGGCTCCTTTAGTCTTTATGGTCATATTCAAATGTGAATATGACCTATAATCACAGTCTTTCCCGTCAAAACATGGTTTATATCTCACTATTTCTTCTAGTCGATATGCAAGATCCTAAAATTGAGTATGGACATGAATATGATGGCATTCGACCCATGCAAACAAGCACAAGAGAGACTGAGGGAGGGAGAGAGCATACCCCTAAAAGATCATTGTCCTCGTTGTACTTGTCCAGTAGAGCTTTAATAACTTCCTGTTTAGGGCGACGGGTCTTCATGGCAGCAAAGGCTGCTGCAGAATTTCTTCTTGTGCCATCATGAGGCCAGTATAAAGCATACCCCACAGACTTCTCCCTAGATGAAAGTCCATTCATGCACCTAGTTTACATATAGAGCGCTGTTAATGACAAAACTCATGGTAGTAATAAGCAACAAAAGGCAAAACAAAACTGAACTCACGACATGCTTACAAAACTAAGTTCTCAACGCATATCTTATGTGAAGAAATATCAACCTTTTGTTTAATAAGTGTGCCTGGCTATCGCCATCTTTATCATGTGGGTGCGGCGGCTATTAGCTACCCAATTGCACAAGTTAAGGGTCAAGTAAAAATAAATATACCTATAGCATAACATCTATATATATCTTCTGAATTTTAAGATCTGCTTACTATTTCAACTTTTTAACAGTAACAGAAAATATTCCCGTAACTCAAAAAATCTCCAAAACTTTAAAATTAATGTAGCCTCGTTATCTAAATGAGAACACACAGACTGAAACAAAAATCTAAGGAAGTTGATAGACTTACAAGTTATTTCGCTCAACAACATGATGTGAGTCAATAGCTTGTTGAGCTTCATGCAAACTCTGAAAGGGTCCCCACCGCGATCAGGATATGTATGAAAACGTCCCTCCTTATCAACTCTGACAAAATATTTAATAAGTAGACCAGTAGACGTCAATGAAAAGACACATGAAGACAATGAGGGGGTAGTGTTGAGCTCCGATTCCAAGATATCTGGCACCTCGCACCTGAAATGGAACACAAAAAATTTGATTTCACAAGATGAGAAATATGAAAGAAAATGGGACAAAAACAAACTGCTAGTTCATGCATTACAGAATTAGTTCACCCGTGCCTACTATCAACAGTCCCTCCCCATGGAAAAGATCACAGGGAAACAACTCATGATTTCAACAAAGGAGAGAGAGAGAGAGAGAGAGAGAGAGAGAGAGAGAGGTTCATGCATACGATGGTGACTCTGGCAGAGAGGAAGAAGCAGCATTAGTGATGGATGATTCCACCAGTGTTGTACTGTCAAGCAACTCCTTAGGCCTGAAATAAAATAGAGGGACATTGTCGTGCACAAAAGAAAGTGTGGTTTAAAGAGAGTAAAGAAAGAAGAAAGTAAACGTGACTTCTATTAGATAGATGGGTTTGTCTAGGGCACATCTAGATGTGCACTAGTTATTGCACATCTAAATGACTCAATCAAATTAGAAAGGAACAGAAAAAGGACAAAAGAAAATGCTTGCATGAATCTTCACGTAAAATCAATGACATATGACTTAGATGTGAAATACTTAGGGCACATCTAGATGTGCTTTAGCAAAACTGTAGATATAAATAATCTTATCTACACCCATGTACATTGATGAAAGATGATAGCTAGCTATGCACAGTCTTATTATAAACCCATGTCTATTGATGAAAATGGTAGGTGGCTATGCACAGTTTTACAGTGAGGCATGTATCTGATAAAGAATCTACTTGGTCTATAATGTCTACTTTTTATTTGTGATCCCTAAGTTGGTGTTGCATTGCTAATTGTGGATTATTTGCAGCAAAGTATTACATTGTGGTTTTTCTTTTTCATTCACACCATGTGATGATTTCAGCAGCACTGGCACAAAAAGCTCGGATAAAAAGCGCATACCTTTGAGCCAGCTGCAGTTTGTGGTCAGCATAGGCTTTGTTCAGCAGATCATCGACATATTGCGGGTTTGGAGTGGGCGTTTTTTGATCTTCCTCGGGGCGTTTGGACTCAGGGTCTGCGGCCCTATTCAATTAAGTTTGGTCAGGACCATAGCCATAGCATTCAACAAAACAAGAGAAGATATGATATACACTGAGAAAAGACGGCACTGCATAAAAGATGTCGCATACGGCGGTGGGGGATCGCGGATGAGGCCGGGGAAGAGTTCATTGCAGACATCTGCGACGGGTCGTGTCGGCCCACAATGGTCGGTGAAGAGAACTCCCTGCCTATCTTTGTAGACAGGGATTTGCTGGCCATTGGGGAGGCGAAAGTGGAACCAAGAGTGTCCCTGGTCGGGGCGGTGGCGCTCGAGCGGCATGCAAGGAAGGGAGGAGCGCTCTGGTCTGTCGTCGCCGCGGCGGCGTTCGCGCGGCATGGAAGGCGGCGGAGGAGGGGAGGAGCCCCTGGTTTGTCGTCGCAGCGGCGGGGTTCGCGCGGCATGGGAGGCGGCGGAGGAGGAGAGGAGCCCCCTGGTTTGTCGTCGCGGCGGCGGGATTCGCGCGGCATGGGAGGCGGCGGAGGAGGGGAGGAGCCCTCTGGCTCGTAGTGGCGGCGGCGGCGGCGGGCTCCGTGTGCCAGGGGGGGAGGTCCTAGGGCTTGGAGATTTCCTGGGGAGGGGAGGGGAAAGGTGCGCGGTTGGGTGGACCGGTGAAATATCTTATTTTCCTTTTGATGAGTTTTCTTTAGACACTTCTTTTGATGAGTGAATAAACGTTATTTTCTTTAGAAGGCCACTCGAGGCCTGTGGGCCGCATGGCAGCCCATCTTCATCTATAGGTCTCAAAAAAGACTTTGGGACCCCTAAAAAAAGGAATTTGGGTTTATCAAAAAGAAAAAGGAATTTGGGAACCAACTAACTGGAGATTACCAACTGCGGGGATTTGGGCGTGCTAAAAAATAGGAATTTGGGAGTGCTAAAAAAAGGAAATTGGGAGCGCAAAGCAATGTGATTCCTCTAGGAAGCGTTATTTGTGGATAAACTACATCACATCCTTCCTTACGGCTTGTGCAATGAAGTATTGTAATCCCGCGTTTGTGGATAAAGCTCTTGATTTCCAAAAAAATGCGGCGGACCTACTTTGCTGCCAAAAAGTACCCTCTCAATTAGGGTTTGCTATGCTCTGGCGGGGACTCACCTCGCCGACGTGAGATCTACCTTTTCCATAGCCATACCCACGCGTAGCAATCTATGCTGCGGCGAGGGGATTTAGGGAAGACGGGGGAGCTGCTCATCCAAGTGCTTTCCCTTCTTCCATGGCGGCGACGATCAGGGTCGCAAGCGATGGACGATGTCGATCTTGAGGAGATGCTCAAGAACATGGAGTTGATGGACGAGGAACTCGATGAAGTGGTGATACGTCTCCAACGTATCTATAATTGGTTTTGGGGATTTTAGAGTATTTATAGAGTTGGAGATAGGTCCAGACGTGCCTGTGAGGCCCACTACCAATCAGGGCACGAATGGGGCCTCTGGCGCGCCCTGGTGCCTAGTGGGCCCCACAACCATCTTCTGGCTTCTCCCGAAGCTTCCGCGGTCTCTTATCACCAGAAAAAAATTCCTAAAAAGTTTTGTGGCATTTGGACTTTATTTGGTATTGATATTATGCAAAGTAAAAAAACAAGCAAAAATAGGAATCGGCACTTGGCACTAAATTAATAGGTTCGTTCCAAAAAATGTAATAAAGTTGCTTGTAAGTGTATATAAAACATCCAAGATTGATAATATAACAGCATTGAACAATCAAAAATTATAGATACGTTGGAGACGTATCGGCATCCCCAAGCTTAATTCTTACTCGTCCTCGAGTAGGTAAATTATAAAAACAGATTTTTTGATGTGTAATGCTGCCTAAAATATGTTGGGGAACGCAGTAATTTCAAAAAAAAATCATACGCACACGCAAGATCCATCTAGGTGATGCATAGCAACGAGAGGGGAGAGTGTTGTCCACGTACCCTCGTAGACCGAAAGCGGAAGCGTTATGACAATGCGGTTGATGTAGTCGTACGTCTTCACGATCCGACCGATCCTAGCACCGAAAGTACGGCACCTCCGCGATCTGCACACGTTTAGCTCGGTGACATCCCACGAACTCTAGATCCAGCTGAGGTCGAGGGAGAGTTTCATCAGCACGACGGCGTGATGACGATGATGATGAAGTTACCGACGCAGGGCTTCGTCTAAGCACTACAATAATATGACTGAGGTGGAAATCTGTGGAGGGGGTGTAACGCCCCGAGACCGTTGTGCCAGGTGTCTCCCAGTTATTCGCTATTGTTGCCTTGTCATTTGCTTGCATGTTGCATTTCATTATGTCATCATGCGCATTTGCATCATGTTTCAAAACTTGCATTTGTCCGGGTCTCCGAGTTCTCTCCGTTGTCCGTACTGAGCTCAACCACACTTGCACGCGCCCGGGGCCCCTTCGGAATATTATTTTATAAGTGGTCGGAAAATGTTCTCGGAATGGGTTGAAAGTTGGCATGTGGTGTTGTTACGTTGTCAGTAGGCCGTCTGCCAAGTTTCATCGCATTCGGAGTCTGTTTGACGCCCCGACGGATAACTATAGCGGCAATAGTAGCCGGTCTATCGTCGGACGTTTCCGGGATCCGGAAACACGTGCTGGGCTGCCCATCTTCCTCTCTTCCCAGCCCACTAGTCCACTTGCACAGTCCACATAGCCCGCCTACTTATCCCCTCCGCTCCGGACCATCGGATCGAGATCCGATGCCCGAAAACGGAGGAAAACCCCTCCTAATCCCTCCTAACCCTAGCCCCTTCCCTATATATAGACCCCTCCTGCCATTTTGGGCAACCTAGCTCCTCCCCTACCCCCTAGACCTCCTCCCTCGAATCTAGCGCCACCCCTTCCCCTCGAATCGCGCCGCCAGCCACGGCCAACCGCCTCCCCCTCAAATTCCGGCGCAACCACCTCATCCCCGCCACTTGTCGCCTCCTGTTTGGCCGAGCCATCTCCTGAGCGCCCCGCAGCCAACCAGGGCAGGCCACGTCGCCCCTGGGTCTCCCTCCAGCCGCGAGGGCCCGCCAAACCCAGATCGGGCCCGGGCAAGCCCATCGGGGCCCGCCCCGAGCCCGAGCAGCGCCGCCGCTCCTGCAGGAGCTCCTCCCGTTCCCGAGCAACTCGAGCCCCTGCGCTGCCCGGCTCCTCCGTGCCTCGCCGGCCGGAGCCTTCCCGCGCCGCCCGTCTCCGGCCACTGGACCTCGTCGCCGCCGACTGCCTCCTCTAGGTCGCGCCTCCCGTCAACTACCTCTCCTCCTCGTCTCCTTCCTCTCTCGGGATCTCACCTCACCTCATCTCTCTCTCTCTCAGGGA